TTATTGCATCCATAGATCTTCAATTAAACTTGATTTAACCTTCATAAAAATCACAATATACTTATTGGAGTTCAAATTAATTAAAATATGTAAAATTAATTTATTATGAAAAATACAAACATAAAATGTAAAATTAACTAAAATTCTATGAACGAATGTAGTTGCACCTAAGAAACAAACTAAAATCAGGTAAATAAAGATAATTATAATGTGATGTAAAGAAATTACAATGGGAAAGGTAATCAAAATAATATCAATATAAATAAGATTCACGTAAGAGATGAGATTTAATGTGATTCGATCTTACTTATCTCCATAAATGAGAGAAATATAATATATTATAAATGTAAAATATAATATAACAAAAGGTATAAAAAATGGAATTTCATGTATTTTAAAACTCAAAATATATCTCAAAACCTAATATACTTAAAAAAATCTCTTTCAGCATCTTTTCAATACTCAACTGTATAACTAACACTAAAAAAATCACGGATGATAGGGTTTTTCTTTTCTTATGGTGTTTGGAGAAGCTCTTATGGAAATTTGACGGAGCTTGAACATGGGAGAGGAGCTTTCCCCTCTTTTGGTGATAAAGGGAGAACTTTACAATTTGGAGTAAGATTTCAATACTTGTTCATTCACGCTCGACGAACGTTGTAAAATTTTTCCATATTTAAACTAGAAACAAAACAAATACTATCAGTTGTTTTTTTAAAGTTCTTTCGAAATGTATTGATAAGGATTTATGATAAGGTTCTTTCTCCATTATTAAATTAATGGTATATGTTATTACAAAAAAATAATGGTATATATATTAATTAAATTTATAATATATTTATAAAAATATTATTTTAATTTAAATTAATATTAAACCTCTTTAATAAAAAATTAATCTCTTGATGAATAACTTGGGGTCTTTTCTATGCTCTCTTTGACCGTTTCTTGGTCTTTTACTGTGGTGACGTTGCACCATTTTGAAAGGTCAAGCGTTTTGAGTTTGTGTACCATTTATATCTAATGTCATTGAATTTTAGATATTACATTATTTACATCATTGAATTTTAAACTACTTCAATTAATATTTAATTTTAATTTTAATTCTAATTCTAATTATAACATTAGACAGTTAACTCGATAATGGTACGAAGATATGAACGACGGTTATTAACATAGATGTTAAAATAGAACTAAATCATTTTAATAACAAAAATAAATGCTTAAATTATGCCTCGAAAAAATTTTAGTGCCTAAAGAATTTTTAGCTAAAAATATGTGTCTAATGTTATTTCTGTTACCATTTTAGGTGTCCGGACGTTAATCGCCGTTAAAAATATCCGTTAAGTGTCACGTGACACGTTCTGGTAATTTTTGAGAATTTTAATTAAAAATTAAAAATATATATTTTAAAAAAACATTTTTTTTCAAATCTAAAAAAAACTCAAAACTTTTAAAACCTTAATTCTAATCCATTTACCGTCGTCGGCCACCACTAACGCTGTTAATCGACCGAACACCCAACGACGTGTGATCAGCCAACCACCCACAACGAAAATCCCCATACTTTCGCTATTGGTCGATCACCAAATCTCTCTAAATCTATAAATTCCTAAACATAAATCCTTCAAAACCCTAAAATGAAATCTTTCATTTACATCATTTTTTTGGTGTTCGATCGGTTGCGAAAGCATGGGGGTTTTGGTCGTAGGTGGTAGGCCGGTCTCACTTCGTTGAGTGTTTGACCGATTAACGACGTTCATGGCAGTCGGCGGTGACGTTCATGGCAGTCGGCAGTGGCAAAGAGATTAAAATTAAAGTTTTGGTTTTTTTAAGATTTGAAAAAAATAAGGTTTTTTAAATATTTTTTTTTAATTTTAAATAATAGTTTTCAAAATTACCAGAAATGACACGTGTCACTTAACAGAGGTTTTTAACTACGGTTAACGTCCGAACACCTAAAATAGTAACGAAGAAAACGTTAGGCACATATTTTTAACAAAAAAAACTTTAGACACTAAAATATTTTTCGAAGTATAATTTGAGAACTTTTATTTATTATATATATATATATATATATATATATATATATATTAATTTTAAATCAACTTAGGAAGAAAAATTCAATGTTATGAATGATACAATATTATCTTCTTTCATGTCATCATATTGAATTTTAACATTTGTAAATTGAGCAAATTGGATTGAGGGAGTCCTTCTCATAATGGATCTATCCAAAACACAAATTAAATTAATCAATCAATAGAATAAAATTATATGAAACTCGTCATGTCATCGTGACGAGTTTAAATTTTTTATTATATTTTATGAAACTCGTCATTCTCTAATTATGAGTTTCACATATATAATAACAAATGACCTAAATCCTAAATTAATTCTTAAACACTCACATTTTCCTAACAAAAAATCGACTTAATTATTTTACCGACGAAGTCACAAAACGGTCCAAATAACATATTAATAAGTTTTAAGGATTTCATTTTGATGACCTATACGTGCTTGTGTTTTACTGCGGTGACGTTGCACCATAGTTAAAGGTCAAGGGATTTGACTTTTAGACGGGGAAATTAAAAGAGAGACTATGACACAAACTTTAAGGTAAGGAAGGATCAAATTATTAAATTATTGGTTGTTTTTGTGGATTGGTGAGTCAACTTAGATGCATGGTCTTTGATATTACTTTACTACTGACATACAACACTATAGTTTTTTTATGAAGACACATGTTATTAATTAATTACTAATTTGATTGGAAATTTGAGGTTTCTTTGGTTTGAATTTTGGAATTTCTTCAGTCCATTAATTCTAAATTTTCCAAGTGAGAAAACATAAGCTAAAGAAATAGGACTTAGTTCAGCCATGGAAATTTCTTCAGACCTTCCCTTGTCAATTTGCTGGTTTTGATGAATTTGAATAATAGAATTTGTTGGAAACATTGGCCTACAAATAGCAGTGGAGAGGCTGAACCCAAAGGATCAAGTAATAAATTTATCCAAAAATGAAAGCATTATTTGCGATACTATGCATTCTCCTCGCTTCCACTCTTTTCATCTCCTCTTTCACCATGGCTCGAGGAAGGCAACTGGGGAGTCGTAAGTAAAATCATAGTATGATTTTAATTATATATAACATGGGAATTATAGGGCTATTAATTTTGCAGATATGGAATGTCGTCAACCTCCTGTTTGTGGTTGTCCCGAATATAATCCAGACTGCCATCGTATTCCTCATCGACCTTGAATGTTGAGGGAAAGCAAAGCTCTAGGATCCATTGGCGAAACTATATATGGAGATCGGCTAAGATGTGTATTGTTTGTGTTTTCAACGCTACTTTGTTTGGTTGTTGTATAATTCAATATGAAATTTAACTCCTTAAATTTGTTATGTTCATGAAATTTAATTCTTTTTTGTTTTCAGAGCCATTATGCTTACGGTTATTATGTTTAACAATAAATCATCTTCAATTTGATACTGTCAAGATATAACGTTATCATCTGACATAGAGAAAAAAACAGAAAATTTATTATCTAAAACTATTGAACTCTTTTGAACATACAACTTGACAATCGTTTTTTTTTCTTTTATCGCAAAGAGAGAGTTATTACAAATTTGCATAGCTCCACCTTTACTAAAACATTTGTACCTTTTAAATCTATAGTATCTCGCGAAATTAAATTTCTTATCAAATCCGTATTAACTCGAATTTGGTGTTATGATCCCACAATAAAATTTCATACTTCAAAGATATTATTTTCATGATCAAATCAAATCTGAATATGTTCTAAACTTCTAATACCATTTTTTAAAAAGACATTGCTTCAAACTAAAAAGGAAGCTTAAAATGATTAACATATAGTTCTTGTATTTTGTAGTTAAAATAACAAGTGCCTTGTCACCCAACTCATCCCATATCTGTTAATAACTTGAATTTGATATCTTCTAGCTTTCTCACAACTTGTTTCGTATCAAACCTTTCATCTGGTATCTCTGCTGTGTTCTGATTTAGAAACCATGACCGAAAGCATATGTGTGAGGAAGAAGAGAGGAAAGAGAGGCTGTACTCTCACACATTTATTAATAAATCTATAATATCTCAAGAGAGACCGAACACTATTTATACAAGGAGATTACTTGAGTCAGTTGGTGATCTAACAAATTCCTATCCACCTAACCGTCTCACAATAGCCGAGTGCTAATGATATAGTACAGACAACTTATCATGTATTCATTAGACTCCTAATACTAGACTCCTAACAAATAGAATACAGTACAAACAATTTATCCTGTATTCATTAGACTCCTAACAATAACACATAAAATTCAATGGTATATGATGTATTTATCCTAAAAATAAAGTAAACTGACGGGGTATATTTGATTAGTCTACGAGGATACCTATACGTGCTTGTCTTTAACAGCGTTGACGTTGCACCATAGTTAAAGGTCAAGGGATTTGACTTTGTAGACAGAGAAATTAAAAGAGAGACTATGACACAAGCTTTAAGGTAAAAGAGCAAATTATTAAATTATTGGTTGTTTTTCTTGATTGGTGAGTCAATTGGACTTTGATATTACTTTACTACTCACATACATCACTATAATATTTTTATAAAGACATGTGTTATTAATTAATTACAATTTGATTCCTTGGTTTGAATTTTGGAACTTCTTTACTCCATTAATTTTGAATTTTTCCAAGTGAGGGAATATAAAATACTTGGGTCAGCCATGAAAATTTCTTCAGACCATCCTTTGTCAATTTTGCTGGTTTTTATAGATTTGAATGATAGAATTTGTTGGTAACATTGGCCTACAAATAGCAGTGGAGAGGCTGAACCCAAAGGATCAAGTGATTAATAATAAATATATCCAAAATAAGTTGATCATAAATCCTTATCATATACATTTCGAAAGATCCTTAAAAAGACAACAGATAGTACTTTTTTTTCTAGTCTAAATAACAAATGCCTTTGTCATCAGACTCATTCAATATCCTTCAAGAAGTTGTCTTTGATCTTCTCTAACTTTGTAATAACTTCTTTCATGGAAAGTCTTTCACATGGTATCTCCTCTGAGCACTCTAAGGCAACTTGCAGAACTGATAATGCACAAATGTTGGCTGCTAAATGATTCCTCCTAGCTGTGCTTACAAAATTGGTGTCTCCAACTTGGTTTAGCATAGATGTTAACGTCTCTATCGCCAACCTCCTCAAGCTCATTTCTTTGGAAAACATTTCATCTGTAGGCTTCTTTTTCATGATAGTTTCCATCATAAGAATACCAAAACTATACACATCACCTTTTATTGAAACAATTCCTTCTGATCCATACTCTACATATGAATTTATATATAAAAAAGGGTTTATCAGTATTCAATAATGTTGTTTGATAATGAAAAAGATATGTTATAAACTATCTAAAGAAGAAGAAGAAGAAGAAGAAGCCTCACCTGGTGCCATATATCCTAAGGTTGCAAGTGTTAAAAGTTTCAAAGTTTGGCAACCAACTTTGGAAAATGTTTTTTTCAAAGTTTGGTAAATGTTTCTTTGAAAAATGTTTTCAAAGTTTGGTAAAATTTTGGTAGATGTTTGTTGAAAATAGGAATGGGTAAATTCACTTTAGTCATTGCACTTTAGGGTATTTTCAAAGATTAGTCCCTAAGTTTCTACTATAAATACCCTTACCCATTTAGCTTCAAAATCATCCCAAAACATTTCTTTCTTCCTATACTAGAGAGCTTTCTTGTGAGTAGTGAGTGTTTTGTAAACACCTGTAAATTTTCTCTCTTAGTAAAAGATCTGCAGTAGCCCGGAGACGTAAACACAATTGGCTGAACTCCGTTATCAATTTTCGGGTATTATTTTTCCGCTTTTATTTCGCATTCTCACTAATCTGGTTATAGGGAAATTACTTGTACTCGGTTTATTTTCCTAACAACTGGTAATCAGAGCTTTTGGTTGTGAATTTTGTCAAATTTTCTGCGAGGTTACTATTCATTACTATTCACGTGAATAGTGAATTTCGTGAATAGTGAAATTCGGTCGGCGATACGAGTTTGTCGACGGTGGTGTTCTAATACACAGTGATTCGCAAGAATTGTCAGAAACGATCCAAACGAAGCCAGATTCGAGTGGGAGCGATGGCTGCAGACGAAGGGAAGGTGAAAATTGAAAAGTTCGATGGTGCGGACTTTGGCTTTTGGAAGATGCAGATTGAAGATTTTTGTACCAGAAAAATCTATATCAACCTCTCTCAGGAAAGCAACCAGAGGGCATGAAGGATGAAGATTGGGCTCTTCTCGACAGACAAGCCCTCGGAGTTATCCGACTGACGTTATCCCGCAATGTTGCTTTTAACATAGCAAAGGAAAAGACCACGGCGGGTCTTATGGCGGCTCTCTCCAGTATGTACGAGAAGCCATCGGCCTCAAACAAAGTTCATTTGATGAGGCGATTATTCAATTTGCGGATGACGGAAGGGGCATCGGTGGCACAACACCTAAATGAACTCAACACAATCACAACCCAGTTGAGTTCAGTGGAAATTGAGTTCGATGATGAAGTTCGAGCTTTAATTCTCTTATCATCTCTACCAGACAGTTGGAATGCTACTGTTACAGCAGTCAGCAGTTCGTCGGGAAACAGCAAATTAAAATTTGACGATGTTCGGGATCTGGTACTGAGTGAAGAAATTCGACGGAGAGAATCGGGTGAAGCATCAACCTCCTCAGCCTTGCACACGGAGTCTAGAGGAAGAACTTCAGAAAGATATTCAAATCGTGGCAGATCAAAATCCAGACGGGAAAAATCTAGAACGGGAAAGAAAGATTTTACCTGTTATAATTGTGGCAAGAAAGGTCACTTTAAAAGAGATTGCCGAGCACTGAAGAAAGATACCGGTGCACAGGAATCTGCCAACGTGACAGAGGAGACAGGTGATGCCATGATTCTAAGCGTCAACAGTCCGATTGAATCATGGATCTTGGATTCAGGGGCATCTTTCCACTCCACCCCATGCCAAGAAATCATGGAGAACTATGTCAGTGGTGATTTTGGGAAGGTTCATCTTGCTGATGATGAAACCTTAAAGATCGTCGGAAAAGGAGACATCCGACTAAAGTTGCCAAACCAGACCACCTGGAAGCTGACAGGAGTGAGACATATTCCTGGCCTCAAAAGAAATCTGATTTCTGTTGGACAGCTTGATGGAGAAGGATATAGCACAACATTTTCAGGTTGTGAATGGAAGATTACCAAAGGAGCACTCGTCATTGCTCGTGGTAAGAAGACTGGTACTCTCTATGTAACCTCCAATTTAGAGAATATCATTGCAGTAGCAGATGCTGATGGAAAATCAAACCTATGGCACCAAAGGCTCGGCCATATGAGCGAGAAAGGGATGAAGACACTTTTGTCAAAAGGGAAGCTGCCGGATCTAAAGAATGTAGATGTCGGACTATGCGAGGATTGCATCTTTGGCAAACAAAAGAAAGTCAGTTTTGCAAAGATTGGCAAGACACCCAAGACAGAAAGGTTAGAATTGATTCATACTGATGTATGGGGACCATCCCCAGTTCCATCTCTTGCAGGCTCACTATATTATGTCACCTTCATCGATGATTCAACAAGGAAGGTGTGGGTTTATTTTCTGAAGAAGAAATCAGAAGTCTTTGATACCTTCAGAAAATGGAAGGCCATGGTGGAAAATGAGACTGGTTTGAAAGTCAAGCGGTTGAGGTCTGACAATGGAGGAGAGTACAGAGACAGTAGATTCAGAGATTTCTGTGCAAACAATGGGATCAAGATGGAGACAACAGTTCCCAAGACACCGCAACATAATGGTGTAGCAGAGCGCATGAACAGAACTCTGAATGAACGTGCCAGAAGTATGAGGATACATGCCGGCTTGCCCAAATTTCTATGGGCTGAAGCAATCAACACTGCAGCTTACTTGATCAACTGTGGGCCCTCAGTTCCTTTGGATGGCAGAATACCAGAGGAAGTTTGGAGCAAGAAAGAAATAAACCTTTCACACTTAAGAGTGTTTGGTTGTATTTCTTATGTACACATAGACTCTGCTGAAAGAAGTAAGCTTGATGCTAAGTCCAACAAATGTGCCTTTGTTGGTTATGGCGGTGATGAGTTCGGTTACCGGTTTTGGGACTATGAAAATCGGAAGATCATCAGAAGCAGAGACGTCATTTTCAATGAAAATGTGATGTACAAAGATAGATCAACCGCAGAATCAAGTAATACCGAAGCTGAAACAAAGGAATTTGCTGAGTTCGAGGAGATTTCTGGAAATGATGTTCAGATCAATCCTGAAGCAGTTCAAGAAGAACCAGGCACACCAGAACTGAGACGCTCCTCCAGAATTCCTAAACCAACCCAACGGTATTCTCCTTCTTTACACTACTTGTTGCTGACTGACAATGGTGAACCAGAGTGCTATGATGAAGCAATGCAAGTGGAGGATTCAGTCAAGTGGGAGTCTTCCATGAAAGATGAGATGGACTCGCTTATGTCAAATCAGACATGGGAATTAGCTGAATTACCACCAGGCAAGAAAGCGCTCCACAACAAGTGGATTTACAGGATCAAAGAAGAGCACGATGGGAGCAAACGCTACAAAGCAAGATTGGTTGTCAAAGGCTTTCAGCAAAAAGAAGCTGCAGAGAATTTACATCTTGAGCAGTTAGATGTAAAGACAGCTTTCCTTCATGGTGATTTGGAGGAAGAAATCTATATGAGGCAGCCAGAAGGCTTCATAGAGGCAGACAAGAAAAACCTGGTATGCAGGTTGAAGAAGAGCTTGTATGGTTTAAAACAAGCTCCTAGACAGTGGTACAAGAAGTTCGATAGCTTCATGAGTAGCAGTGGTTTTATCAGATGCCAAGCAGATCATTGTTGCTACATCAAGAGGTTCGACAACAGCTTCATTATTTTATTATTGTACGTTGATGACATGCTCGTTGCAGGCTCAGACATGCAAGAGATTATACACTTGAAGCAAAAATTGTCGAAGCAGTTTGCTATGAAGGATCTGGGCGCTGCAAAGCAGATTCTTGGGATGAGGATCAAGAGAGACACAAAGTCGGGGACTTTGATGTTATCACAGGCTGAGTACATCAACAAAGTACTCTCCAGGTTCAACATGCAAGATGCTAAACCAGTAAGTACACCTTTAGGTGTTCATTTCAGACTCTCCAAAGACCAATCACCAAAGACGGAGGAAGAACGTGCACACATGGTGAAGGTGCCGTATGCCTCAGCAATTGGAAGTCTGATGTATGCCATGGTTTGTACCAGACCAGATATTGCTCATGCAGTGGGAGCTGTTAGCAGGTACATGAATAATCCGGGCAAGGTACACTGGGAAGCAGTCAAATGGATCCTCAGATATCTTCGTGGTACCACAAACAAAGCACTTTGTTTCAAAGGTGGAGATATGATACTGACAGGCTATGTAGATGCTGACTTAGCCGGAAATGTCGACATCAGAAGGAGCACTACAGGGTATGTCTATACTCTAGGAGGAACTGCAGTGAGTTGGGTTTCTCAACTACAGAAGATAGTTGCTCTCTCCACAACTGAAGCAGAATATGTCGCTGTTACGGAAGCCAGCAAGGAGATGGTTTGGCTCCAAAGTTTCTTGGAAGAGTTAGGCAAGAAACAAGAAAACAATATCTTGTATTGCGACAGTCAAAGTGCTATCCATCTAGCAAAGAATCCGTCTTTTCATTCCAGGACAAAGCACATACAATTGAGATATCATTTTATCCGGTCTCTTCTGGAAGATGGGATTTTGAAACTTGAAAAGATTAGTGGAGCTCAAAATCCGGCAGACATGTTGACAAAGACGGTGACTACGGACAAACTGAAGTTGTGTTCAACTTCAGTTGGCATGCTAGAATAAATAGACCAGACATGCTGCTGCATTGATCGAGGTGTGAAGACATATTAAAATCAGTCTTCAAGTGGGAGATTGTTAAAAGTTTCAAAGTTTGGCAACCAACTTTGGAAAATGTTTTTTTCAAAGTTTGGTAAATGTTTCTTTGAAAAATGTTTTCAAAGTTTGGTAAAATTTTGGTAGATGTTTGTTGAAAATAGGAATGGGTAAATTCACTTTAGTCATTGCACTTTAGGGTATTTTCAAAGATTAGTCCCTAAGTTTCTACTATAAATACCCTTACCCATTTAGCTTCAAAATCATCCCAAAACATTTCTTTCTTCCTATACTAGAGAGCTTTCTTGTGAGTAGTGAGTGTTTTGTAAACACCTGTAAATTTTCTCTCTTAGTAAAAGATCTGCAGTAGCCCGGAGACGTAAGCACAATTGGCTGAACTCCGTTATCAATTTTCGGGTATTATTTTTCCGCTTTTATTTCGCATTCTCACTAATCTGGTTATAGGGAAATTACTTGTACTCGGTTTATTTTCCTAACAGCAAGGGTCATGGTTTGGATCATCGAATCCTCTTCACATAAGAGTTTTGCGATTCCAAAATCAGTTAAATGCGCAACCATATCTTCATCTAATAGAACATTGCTGGGCTTTAAATCGCAATGAACCACTGGTGTTGTATGACCATGATGGAGATACTCTAAAGCAGATGCAACATCTATCAGTATGTTCAGCCTTTGTAGGATATCCAGAAAATGATTGCTGGAATACAACCATTTATCAAGACTCCCATTGGGCATAAACTCAAGTATCAAGGCTCTGAAATCAAGATTATCAGAGCATCTACTGATGATTTTGGTTAAATTTCGGTGGCGGGTGTTGCGAAGAACTTCGCATTCGACGTCGAAGCTCTTAAAGGCTCCTTTTAGATCTAACTTGAAGACTTTTACCGCAAATGTCATTCCATCTGGGAGAGTCCCTTGATATACTGAACCATAACTTCCGCTACCAAGCAATCTGCTTTCACTGAATCCATCAGTAGCTTGATAAAGCTCTGGGTATGCAAATCGTCTCCACATTCCTAAAGGTAGCAACTCTTCTTGAGTTTCAAATGTTACTTTCTTCTTCCTACTTCGGAAGAAAATGATAATTAGAGCCACCACCAAAATTGTAGAGGCAATCGGTGGTGCAACACATGTTATGAGCTTAGTTCTTGCCTTAGAATTTCTATGAGGCTTAGTTTTGCAGCTTGGGACATGAAGTTGAGCTGCTCCGCACAATGCTGCATTCCCCTCGAATGATTCAATTGAGTAGTTTCCGAATGATCCTCCATTAGGAATTTCTCCTTGAAGTCTATTGAAAGAGACATTGAAATATTTGAGATAACGAAGTTTCTCTAAGGACTTGGGAATCTCTCCAGATAGACTGTTTCTCGACAAATCCAAGGTTTCCAAGCTCAGCAAGTCACCAAATGAATCAGGAATAGAGCCTGTAATTCTATTATTGGATAAGGAAAAATAAGTGAGGTCATTGAGATCTGCAACTCCAGTAGGGATATCACTCGAGAACTGATTGTTCGACAAATCCATACTAGTCACAACTTTCCAGTTTCCAATATCAATTGGAAGAGGACCAGTGAGAGAATTTGAAGACAAGTTCAGGATCAGGAGATCATTAAGCCCTGTCAAGGTTGAAGGTATTGAAGAAGAAAACATATTGGAGCCAAGGAGTAGTTGCCTCAAAGAAACAACATCACCCAAGCAAGTAGGTATCGGTCCAGACATTTTGTTGTTGGTCAAGACCAAGAAACCCAACTTGTTTAGCTGACATAACTCGGACGGGATCCATCCTTCTAACTTATTGCCCGAAAGAGAAAGACTCTGCAGCTCTTTTAATCCTCCAATTGTAGTAGGAACCGTTCCTGTCAATTTATTGCCATCTAGCTTTATGGCCATCAAGTGACTTAAGTTGCCAAATTCATACGGGATGCTACCCCTGATGTTGCACCTAGCACCAAAGAATACCTGAAGAGAATCTGAGAAATTTCCTACCGAACCTGGGAGTTTACCACTGATCAATTGGTTGCTACCAAAATCCAAGAGTTCCAAGCCTCTACAGTTTGTCAAAGAAGAGAGAAAGCTCATCCCTGAGGAAGTTAGATTATTAACTTCCAGGTTGAGTTTCTTCAAATTTTTAAGATTTCCAAGAGTGTCAGGAATAGACCCTGAAATGTAATTATGTGACATATCAAGAATAGTAAGCTTAGAGGCATTTGAAATATACATTGGGAATGGACCAAAAAGTTGATTGTTCCCCATATATAATCCCTCCAGGTTTGGAAGCCAAATCCCCATGTTTGATGGAAGACTGCCAGAGAGCTGATTTAGTAGCAGAGAAATGACATTCAGAGTTGATGTATTGAATATTGCAGGAGGAATTGGACCAACAAGTTTGTTATCTTCCAAATTCAAGAATTCTAGAATCTTTAGGTTGCCAATCTGTTGTGGTATCATACCTGCCATAAATTAAGATGATTAAGTCATATTTTTGTATGAAGAAAAAAAAAGTTACAAATTAAGGAACTTGAAAGTAAATTAGTTTTCTTTTATTCATTCACCTGTGAAGTTGTTATGGGAACAATCAAACAGCCTAAGAAGAGTTAGATTCACAATCTGTTCTGGAATTTCACCTGCAATGATAAAATTCACATCAAATTATCTATTTTTCAAATAAATTATCTATTTCTCTCAACAAATTTAATCAAAATTCATTCAAACTGGTGTTATTATTTATTAACATGATTTTTTCAGAGAGCAGCTCATCGTTTTTACATTCTCAAAGATAAATTAAAAAATGGGAAGTATATATTACCTTGAAAGTGGTTCTGACCAATAGAGAAGAACTGAAGCATGCTCAAATTCCCAATCTCTACCTGTAGACTCCCCTCCAATTGGTTTCGTGATAAGAATAAAGTTTGTAATTTTTTACACTTGAATAAACTGGCTGGAAATCTTCCTGAAAGCATGTTAACGCTCAAGTACAGTACTTTCAAATTTGGAAGACGATCAAACATATCGTTTGGAAAATGGCCAGTGAGATTATTGACGTTGAAATTGATGAATTCTAGTGAAAGCAAATCGATTGGAACAGAGGGTATGGAACCGGTGAGCATATTACTACCTAGATCAATAGCTTTTAACGAAGATATGTTGAAGACGGAGGAGGTTATTGAGCCCGAAATCTGGTTTCCATACAAGCTCAACTCCTCAAGCTTTGGCAAATAGCCTAAAGAGAATGGGATAACACCATTGAAGTTGTTATGGTACAGACGCAACTCCTGAAGTTCAGTTAATGATCCTAACCACGATGGGATTTCTCCACTGAAGCTGTTGTTACCAAAGTTTATTTGTTTCAGTCGTTGCAAATTTGATAATTGGACTGGTAATCTGCCATGGAAACTGTTATCACTGATGGAAAGAAGAGAAAGGAATGATAAATTTCCTAAGTGGGGTGGAAGAGTGCCTACGAGTCCCAAGCCAGTAAGGTTTAGAGCCGTGACCCTGCGGTGCTTGGATCCGCAGCTGACACCAAACCAATTGCAAACATTGGAAGAAGATGACCAATTTGCAGCCAAGACATTTTCAGGATCGTGGATAACATGGTCTTTCAGTGCAAGAAGGGCGGACTGGTCTGTAAATATGGTGGTTAAGTTCATGGAGAAAGAAGGAAGAGAAAAATGAAAGATGATAAGAAGAGTTAAGTTGAGCAAAGTGTTCCCCATTAGATTTTGGGTGGTTGAGTCAAGCTACCAAGGAAGGCACAAGCTTGATAACCCATTCTTTATACACACAAGATTGACAGCGAACTGAAATGTGAGGGGTTAAACTGATAAGAAAAAATAGTAGAGTTTAAATTAAAAGTTTCATTAAAAATCAAAGTAAACCCTGAAATTTCTCTAGAACACGCAATGTGGTTGAAAGATTTTATTTTTAATGTTTTAAACGGTGGCTTTTCTCTTGTCATAACAGTGGCTTTCAACATCCCACGACGATAAAAATAAGAACTTTTACTTAACTAGATTGACTTCGAAATAATTTCGACTTTGATTTTGAGAAATTATTGATTAATAGAGTTTAAGAATTTAGATCTATAACTAATTGGTTTAGTGTGATGCGATATTAGATTCTTTAAGGTTTGAATTTTAATATTTGCAAATAAAACAAATTGAGTTAAGAGGATCGCTCTCATAATGAGTCTCTGTAAAATATAATCTAAATTAATCAATCAATAGAATAAAATTATATGGAACTTGTCACGTCCTCATGACGAACTCAAATTATTTATTATGTTTTTATGAAACTTGATAACGAATTTCATGTATATGATAACAAATGACTTAAATCCCAAATTAATTCTTAAACATTCATTTTCTAAAAAGAATTTGACTGAATTATTTTACCGACGAAGTCACAAAACGGTCCAAATAACATATTAATAAGTTTTAAGGATTTCATTTTAACGACCTATACGTGCTTGTGTTTTACTGTGGTGACGTTGCACCATAGTTAAAGGTCAAGGGATTTGACTTTTAGACGGGGAAATTAAAAGAGAGACTATGACACAAAGTTTAAGGTAAGGAAGGATCAAATTATTAAATTATTGGTTGTTTTTGTGGATTGGTGAGTCAACTTAGATACATGGTCTTTGATATTACTTTACTACTGACAACAACACTATAGTTTTTTTATGAAGACACATGTTATTAATTAATTACTAATTTGATTGGAAATTTGAGGTTTCTTTGGTTTGAATTTTGGAATTTCTTCAGTCCATTAATTCTAAATTTTCCAAGTGAGAAAACATAAGCTAAAGAAATAGGACTTAGTTCAGCCATGGAAATTTCTTCAGACCTTCCCTTGTCAATTTGCTGGTTTTGATGAATTTGAATAATAGAATTTGTTGGAAACATTGGCCTACAAATAGCAGTGGAGAGGCTGAACCCAAAGGATCAAGTAATAAATTTATCCAAAAATGAAAGCATTATTTGCGATACTATGCATTCTCCTCGCTTCCACTATTTTCATCTCCTCTTTCACCATGGCTCGAGGAAGGCAACTGGCGAGTTGTAAGTAAAATCATAGTATATATAAATGATTTTAGTTATATATAACATGAGAATTATAGGGCTATTAATTTTGCAGCTACTTCGCCTATAGAACCTCCTACTCCGATCTGTCCCCCGCCTGATTCAAACTGTCATGGTATTCCACCTCCATCTTGAATGCTGTGGGAAAGCAAAGCTATAGGATCCATTGGCGAAACTGTAAATGGATATCCGCTAAGATATGTATTGTTTGTGTTTTCAACGCTACTTTGTTTGGTAGTTGTGGATAAGCGCCTAATAGATGAACCCTTCGGATGTTGCGACTTTGTAATCTCTATGTTTATAATCGGTTATTTGTTTTTCTCATTTATAGAAATAGATAAGATCGAATCATATTAAATCTTGTTTTTTTATGTGTCTTATATTATAGAAATAGATAGAAATAGGTTAAAGGAATGGCGGCTATCCTTAAATGTCTCTGGTTTGAGCACTAGAGGTTGCAAACATCAATAATGACTGTATATATGATGTGCAGGATAGATAATGTTTATTTTAAAATATAATTTTTTTCTATTATTTATATATATTATTTATTATGTTCACCTTAAAATTTAATTTGTTTTATATTATTAATATATGTATTCATCTTTAAAAATATTTTGGGATGTGATTAATCATCCGACAGTCATAATTCTTATGCGATGGAACTGTCAAGGTTTGGAGTTTGCGTAATTGCATAGTTCTCTATATCCTAGTCAATTTATATTTTGTGTTGTATACTGTTTCCTGAGTAATGGAATTATTGTCTCCTGGCCAAAAAGGAAGAAATATAATTCACAAATTGTTTGGAGAATAAGTTGAAGTATGACCATAAAATACTTATCAACCACATTGCTTCAAACTAAGAAAGAAGCTTAAAATGACTAACATATAGTACTTGTATTTTTGTAGTTAAAATAACAAGTGCCTTGTCACCAAACTCATCCCATATCTATCAATAACTTGACTTTGATCTCTTCTAGCTTTCTCACAACTTGTTTCATATCAAGCCTTTCATCTGGTATCTCTACTGAACATTTTAAGGCAACTTGCAAAATTGAAAATGCACAATCGTTGGCTGCTGAATGTTGCCTCCTAGTAATGCTTACAGAATTGGTGTCTCCAACTTGGTTTAGCATAGATGCTAACGTCTCTTTCACTAAACTCCTCAAGCTCATCTCTTCGCAAAACATTTCATCTGTAGGCTTCTTTCCCATGATAGTTTCCATCATAAGAATACCAAAACTATACACATCACCTTTTATTGAAACGATTCCTTCTGATCCATACTCTACATATGAATTTGTATATATAAAAATGTTCATCAGTATTCAATAATGTTGTCTGATCATGGAAAAGATATGTTATAAACTATCTAAAGAAGAAGAAACCTCACCTGGTGCCATATATCCAAAGGTTGCAAGGGTCATGGTTTGGATCATTGAATCCTCTTCACATAAGAGTTTTGCGATTCCAAAATCACTCAAATGTGCAACCATATCTTCATCTAATAGAACATTGCTGGGCTTTAAATCGCTATGAACCACTGGTGTTTTAAGACCATGATGAAGATATTCCAGAGCAGATGCAACATCTATCAGTATGTTCAGCTTTTGTCGGATATCCAAAAAATGATTGTTGGAATACAACCATTTATCAAGGCTCCCATTGGGTTTAAACTCAAGTACCAAGGCTCTGAAATCATGATTATTAGAGCACTGCCGATGATTTTGGTTAAATTTCGGTGACGGATGTTGTGAAGAACTTCACATTCGACGTCATAGCTCTTGGAGGCTCCTTTTAACTCTAACTTGAAGACTTTCACCGCAAATGTCATTCCATCTGGGATAGTCCCTCGGTATACTGAACCGTAACTTCCGCTACCAAGCAATCTGCTATCACTGAATCCATCAGTAGCTTGATGAAGCTCTCGGTACGAAAATCGTCTCCACGTTGCTAAAGGTAGCAAATCTTCTTGAGTTTCCAATGTTTCTTTCTTCTTCCTACTTCGGAAGATAATGAAAATTAGAGCCACCACCAAAATTGTAGAGGCAATCGACAGTGCTACAGATACATATGTTATGAGCTTACTTCTTGCCTTGGAATTTCTTTGAGGTGTAGTTTTGCAGCTTGGAACATGAAGTCGAGCTGCACCACACAATGCTCCATTCCCCTTAAATGATTCAGTTGAGTAGTTTCCGAACGTTCCTCCATCAGGAATTTCTCCTTCAAGTCTATTGAAAGAGACATTGAAATATTTGAGAAAACGGAGTTTCTCCAAGGACTTGGGAATCTCTCTGGATAGCATATTTCTTGATAAATCCAAGGATTCCAAGCCCCACAAGTCACCAAATGAATCAGGAATAGAACCTGTGATTCTATTGTTGGATAAGTAAAAATAAGTGAGGTCTTTGAGATCAACGATCCCAATCGGAATTTCACCGGAGAACTGATTGTTTGAGAAATCCAGACTAGTCACAACTTTCCACTTTCCAATATCAGTTGGCAGAGGACCAATAAGAGAATTTGAAGACAAGTTCAGGATCAGGAGATCAGTAAGCCCTGTCAAGGTTGAAGGTATTGAAGAAGAAAACATATTGGAGCCAAGGAGTAGTTGCCTCAAAGAAACAACATTACCCAAGCAAGCAGGTATCGGTCCAGACAATTTGTTGTTCGTCAAGACCAAGAAACCCAACTTGTTTAGCTGACATAACTCGGACGGGATCCATCCTTCTAACATAATGTCCCCAAGAGAAAGACTCTGCATCTCTTTTAATCCTCGAATTGTG